TTTTCATTTCTCATCTGGCATAATTTTCTTACTTTTTTGCACTTGCTCCCGCTTCCATTTCCACGCCTGCTCGATTTCGATTTTGATTTTCGTTTTTGTCATCAATTTCTGTTTTAATTTTCGTCGCAATATCTGTTTAACGTCTGAATCGATGAGTTTTTTTTATCTTGTTTTTGCTTGTAATCTCTTTTTCGATATTAGGTTTTCATTTTTTCATTTACTAGATTAAATTAATATGTTTTTGGTTATTTTGTATGATCTCTGTTTGTTGTTTTGAATTAATCCATGTATAATGTATATATCACCCATATTTCTAGTGTTGTATTGTTTGTTGTCTGAGTTGCAAGGTTATTTGTGTATAGTGGCTAGGTGATGGGTCTCCTCTCAGATCTGGAGTGAATCAATGGAAACAAGCTCAGATCTGAAATGAACCGGTAGAAATGAGCTCAGATCTGCCTCGATCGCCTTCGAACCGTCGCTGAACCGCGAGAACACCTGCAAGAACTCAACGTCGGAGGGGTTTCCAGCGTAGAGCCTCCGACGCTCAAGTCAGTATGTGAAAGAGATGAAGCGAGCTGCTCTGAGAGAGCAGCAACAGTAATGGAGGAGAATATAGAATGAATGTGAGTTAGGGTTTTGGGGTTACCTCAGCTCCTTTGTATAGGAGCAAAACAGTTACCTGAAGTCCCCAAAATACCCCGACTGACTTACTGGAAATGTCCAAAATACCCTGATCGGTTCGCATTCCGTCCATCTCCTAGTCAGCATCTAGATTCCTTCTTATCCTTAATAGCTTCCTTCTTATCCTTGACAGCTTCCTTATGATATGCTGAAGTATACGGGAATCGTCGGGGATCTATGAGCCTCGAGACTTTCTCAATCGACTCGGGGTATCAACTCGAGTCGACTGGGTCATCTTCAATTGTCAATAGACCTTGACGCGCTTATCCATCCTTCCAGAGGTAGTCGACTTACGCTAGTCGACGCGTGGAAGTCGACTGAGAGAGACGCCTGGCCCCTGACCTGAGATATTATAAGTGTTAGAGGTATGCTGTAAAAGCTATGTTTTGCAGATTTTATAAATTCCATTTTGATCTGGCCATCATGTTTCGGTCAAAGTACATATGTTTGCAGTTTATTTATTTATGCAAATCATACTCCATGTCTTATATTGAGATAGTGTGGTTCGAAGTGTTTCGAACAGAAAGATCACCTATCGGTTCCTTATAAGACTAAACTATTCGTTCACAGTCTAGACAGGCAGTGAGACCCCTCTTGGAAAAAGACTGTAGTGTATTCTTGATTCAGTTGGTCTTTGACTGAAGGATTACACTAGCACTTATGTTAAGTGTTGAACATGACCACGAAAGGATAAGGATATGAGACTCACTGACCGTTGTTGTAACCTAGACCTTTAGTGATTGATGCGTTCTCTTAAGCTGTATGATAAAATAGGCATATATTTTTATTTCTTATTTATTTGATTTACGAAGTGATTCCTATTTTATTAGGATGACATACGAGGTATTTTGGTAAGTAAGAATAATTAAATGATGTGCTATTATTAATTATTTATGGTCACTATGTTCCAGTGCGCTGGATTGATGACGTCCCCGAAATGAGCTCAGGAAGGAACATTATGTTAAACCCTGCAGGTAGATGATTGTCTGACATAATGATTAAGGATCTGAGTGGTACTAATTTTGGAAATGAATAAGAAGTTGATTAATTATTTTGTCAGTAATTTAATTAATCAACGGACGTTATATCTGAAACATATGGAGGTAAATCGATCAATCGGATTAATATTTTTTAATCATGGAGGCTCAATTCTATTGGTAAAACAGTGGCTAAATGGAAAGAGCAATAATATTATTCTAGTGGGATGATTTATTATTTAATTCCATTTAAATAAGAATTAATTTTATTCCATATTAATTAATTTAATTAGGATAATAAAATTCCTACTAGAATCTTCTCTTGAGATTAGGAGACTAAGGAGTCTTCTAGAAGATGGAGATTAGTAGGAAATATATTTAC